CACGTTTAGATAGTAACACAGATAAGAACGGACATTAACCTATAAGGTTAATGACTAAGGGAGAACTAACTCTTGCTAATCGATAGAGTCAGCCTGATATACTTGTAGCCTCCCTTGGTACATCTAAATCACACCCCCCCTCCCTAATATATTAGTAGCCTCCCTTGGTACATATAAATCAACTCTCTCGCCCCCCCCCCCCCCCCCCAGCACAATAAATCCACGAAAACACCCTTAAACTTTTCCAAAGCCTACCTAAAAGAATACGGCATGTTATAAATCAGTCTGATTTCACATGTCTTTTGAATTCTGTAAAGAGAGGATTGTTAAGGAGAGGGGGAGAGGTTGTAAAGGGCATGGGGGTTGTGAAGGGGGAAGGGCGGTGGGGGCTGTGAGGGGGTAAGAGGTTGTGAAGGGGGTTGTAAAGGGCATGAGGGTTGTTAAGGGGGAAGGGGGCGGCTGTGAAAGGGGAGAGTGGTTCAAAGACGAGGGGGCTGTCAAGGAGGAGGTTGTCACAATAAGCACTCCCCTCACCATCACCACTCCAACCATCCTCATCACCACCCCACCCCCACCGTCACCCCGCCTCCAACACCCTCAACACGCCAACAACGTTTTATTTTTTATTCAAACATCAGGCTGTCAAAATAAAACGTAACTAGGACTTGTTTATATGAACACAATTTATAAAATGGCGTGACAATTTATTGTAATTTAACGACATTAAGTTCGTCAACTTGTCGCAATAATTTCTCATCAAAGTACTCTCTTGTACTAAAAAAAGGAGATAAAGTACTTAGCGAATAAGCTGAGATTTACCAGGAACGTACATTTGAGTCGGCTACAAGGCAATCAATCAAGCATATAGATCGATATGAGTCCCCCCCCTCACTCACCATCATAGGAAACAATCCGCTAACTAGACAGAACTACCAGTGCCAATCTGTGGAACCAATCAGTTGGCAGAGTGGGTGGGGTTGTGGGGGGGGGGGGGGGGGTGGACTGAATGTAGTCACGTAATCAAGGTCTGTGACAGAATGTGTGTGTGTGTGGGGGGGTCGCTACTGAATGTAGTCATATAACTACGGTCTATGAGAGCATGAGTGTGTGTGTGTGTGTGAGAGGGGGGAAGGGGGGTCGCTACTGAATGTAGTCATATAACTACGGTCTATGAGAGCATGAGTGTGTGTGTGTGAGAGGGGGGAAGGGGGGGTCGCTACTGAATGTAGTCATATAACTACGGTCTATGAGAGCATGAGTGTGTGTTAATGGGGGGGGGGGGGGGGGTCGCTACTGAATGTAGTCATATAACTACGGTCTATGAGAGCATGAGTGTGTGTGTATGGGGGGTGAAGGGGGGTCGCTACTGAATGTAGTCATGTAACTACGGTCTATGACTGAACATGTGTGTGTGGGGGGGGGGGGGGTAGAGGGGATTAACAACTGAATGTGTCATGTAACTATGGTCTATGACTGAACGTGTGTGTGTGTGGGGGGGGGGGGGGGGGGGGGGGTAGAGGGGATTAACAACTGAATGTGTCATGTAACTATAATCTATGGCATGCGCCTGAGGGGAAGATGTACTTCGATCTACTCCTCAAGTTGAAATGATAGATACTATCTAACTAGATCACAAACCATATGCAAGGTTTAGTACGGTAAAGAATCGAGTTTTAGCTTACAGTTAAACAAGGGGTGGAGGGGGGGGGGGACAGGTCGTTACCGTACACCGATTAGAATGGAAATGTATTTAAATGACACACTCAAAGTCTCCCGGAATAGTCGATAGGATTTCTTTTTAGTTAAAAAAAAAACAGTTTAGGTGGCTGCTAATAATTGTTGTAACACGACGTTCTAGAGAAAAAGAAAATAACATGGGAGATTGTTAAAATGAGGGAAAACAATTGCAAGGACAATGTATTTTAAAACGTATTTAATAGAGCTTGTTTAGAAAAAAATAACCTTGCCCGTTCGTGACCAAGACACATGGGGAGATGAAGTAGAGTTCATCCATTTCAATGACCTCGGCATGCTCAGTCGTTTTCGTTTCTCTAACGTGAGCAGGGTCGACATTAGGAACATCCGGCAGTTACAAGTCCGAATCAAGATTCGAACTCGAGACCTTCGGGGTAGCAGTCAAAATGCTCTACCAATGGCCTACGCCGTCTTACAAAAAAAAAATAGTCCATAATATAGCATGTGTATCTCCCAATCTACAGACCAGACTAGGCCTGGTATACGTCTACCACCGGCCAACATTTCCCAATCAATCAATTGATTCACGTCTCGCTAGGTTAAGGGATGTTCATCAGGTCAAGTTATGGGAAAAGCGAAAACCTTTGGTGGCGGGGTGATAACGGTGGGGGCCAGTCATTTTCCAATAGAAACATTCATTACAAATACAAGACCCAATAGAAACTTTCGTTACAAATACAAGACCCAATAGAAACTTTCGTTACAAATACAAGACCCAATAGAAACTTTCGTTACAAATACACGTCCCAATAGAGTTACAAATACAACCCAATAGAAACTTTTGTTACAAACACAACCCTGCATCTGATTAATAAACATGACTTGAGATTTCAAATTTAAAAAAAAAATGCTTGCAACTTTACAGCTGTTTAAATTGATTGTTATTGTTACGTTTTTTAGGGTTATAAAATAAAATCGAATGAAGCGACGTTCAGAATTTAAAGACAGTAAATTATGCTAAGTTAGGAAGATTGGTTGGGGTCTATAAGAGGACAATATTCATGTATAACATGCAGACAATACAGTATAAGTGTTATAGGCCAATAGCGAATTATAACAGTTGTTGAAATGTTATAGCTGAATGTACACACACAAAAATAGGAAATGAAGACAAGATTTCACAGAAAATAATAAACACAGAACCCATCAACTTGAAAGTTAAGAGAGCGCTTTAAACAACTTAGATAAAAACAAATGCGTGTCACTAATAAAATATAAACAATCAACTGAGGTCAATGCATACCGTATACAGTAGGTAAAAGTTCTGTCAACCAAACTAGTACATGTAGTATTACTGTATACTGCTATCTTTTCTAATAGTTTTGTTCGTTTCCCAGAACTTAACAGGGTCTTCCGCCTGAAGTTTGAGCTGCTTTTGTCAGAAGAGATAGCAGCCTTCGTCCAACTTTGGAACAGTCTAGTCCCAAAATATAAGCACTCATAAATAATCAGACAGCAACCTTCGTCTGCATTTAGACCAGTCCTTGACTACATTATTCAGCGCAAGATGACTGTATTAGGGCCAACTCTTAAACTTTGGACAACAGATATATTCAGCGCAAGATGACTGTATTAGGGCCAACTTAAACTTTGGACAACATATATATTCAACGCAAGATGACTGTATTAGGGCCAACTTAAACTTTGGACAACAGATATATTCAGCGCAAGATGACTGTATTAGGGCCAACTTAAACTTTGGACAACATATATATTCAACGCAAGATGACTGTAGTAGGGCCAACTTAAACTTTGGACAACATATATATTCAGCGCAAGATGACTGTATTAGGGCCAACTTTTAAACTTTGGACAACAAATATATTCAACGCAAGATGACTGTATTAGGGCCAACTTTTAAACTTTGGACAACATATATATTCAACGCAAGATGACTGTAGTAGGGCCAACTCTTAAACTTTGGACAACAAATATATTCAACGCAAGATGACTGTATTAGGACCAACTCTTAAACTTTGGACAACAGATCGATCTGGACGGGTGAATCATAACTTCACGTCTGGGCCGGTTCTGGTGCCCCACCCTGCAGGCGCACGGCTCTGGTGTCATGGTCAGGAACTAAAGACGGGGGTGTTATGACGTAATGTTGACACCCGCCATCAGGGGAAACATGACATGCGCACTAGCCAACACAAGACTTTGGGGGAAAACCCGATTTAAAAACAAACATTATTGGGTTACAGAGAGGCAAATCGACCCACGCTATTCATGGAATCAAAGGTCATGTGACATTTGGATGAAAAACTAGAACGATTGGCGGATAGCTAGAGAGAGAGAAAAAAATGAAATAAAAAAAATAATTAGAAAATGGAGATTTATTTATTTAAATTGGAAAAAGAAAATAGAGATAAAATGCATAGAGCAACTAATGCATCTGTGGAATAAACGTGTGTCTAAAAATAAAAAAGTAATTTTATACCCAATACGCGATGTGTTTTCAAACCATATTCAAACAACGCCAGCTGTTGATATCGTTTAACGAATGGCTATCTAGTGCACAGACACCTGCGCAGGAGGTCCTACTATACCAGGCTAGTGAACATTATGGTATGACAATCTACTAGCCTTGATCAGAACAGAAAGGAAATAAACCAAAAGTAAGAGTTTAAACATAAATCGAACCAGAGTTTCTTCCAGGCGTCTCTTCGGGGGGATATTTAACGAGATTTATATAGTAAACATACACTTTTACTAGTGTCCGCCCCCACCCCCCCCGAAAAATGTTGACCCCCCCCCCCGAAAATAAGTGCCTTCCCGGAGAAAAAAGTCAAGAAGAAACACTGAATCGAACCTTGGTCTTTAAAAGTATAATCCCTAAGTGCAAGAAGGTAAGTAAGAGGTTTAAGGAGGTATTAGAGTAGTTCCGTAGACACGACCCGACACTCAGCACACAAAGTACCCGACCCCTGCATACACTCAACCAAAACCCGACCCCATCATCTCATAATGCTCGACCCCGTAAAGACCCTGCCACCTCTCAAAGACCCCAGTTAGATTCCATCTTTTCCAAAACCAGACAGACCCCCAAAAGCCCGACCAAAATAGGACCCTGTGACCACCCGCCCCCCGAAAAAAGCCCGACCCCAGTAAGACATCGTGACACCCAAAAGCCCAACCCCAGTAAGACCCCCAAAAGCCCGACCCCACTAAGACCCCGTGACCCCAAAAGCCCAACCCCAGTAAGACCCCCAAAAGCCTGACCCCAACAAGACAACGTGACCTACCCTTTCGTCCAAAGACCTCATGTCGCAGGTCTTTATCTGGACCTGTGGCTTGGGCTCCTCCCCCGCTAGCTCGGCGTCAATCTCTTCCTCCATCTGGACCAGGGTCGGCGCCAGCATCCCAAGTTTGGCTCCCACCTGTAGGGGCAAACACAGACATGGTAGGGACTTGTTGGGATACATGGGGGGGGGGGGGCAGCATCCCAAGTTTGGCTCCCACCTGTAGGGGCAAACACAGACATGGTAGGGACATGTTGGGATACATGGGGGGGGGGGCAGCATCCCAAGTTTGGCTCCCACCTGTAGGGGCAAACACAGACATGGTAGGGACATGTTGGGATACATGAGGGGGGTGGGCATGTTGGGATACATGGGGCCAGCATCCCAAGTTTGCCCCCCACCTGCAAGGGCAAACACATGGTAGGTACATGTTGGGATACATGGGGGACATGTTGGGCTATATTGGGGGCATGTTGGGGTATATTGGGGGCATGTTGGGCTATATTATGGACAAGTTGGGATACATGGTGGACATGTTTGGATACATGGGGGACATGTTGGGATACATGGGGGACATGTTGGGAAACATTGGGGACATGTATGGCGGTGACAGAACGCCAAAGTTAGTTATCACAACAGACGACACAAGACAACAGCCGACATAAAACAAATGCAGATTAAAAACAGCCAACATTCAACAAAGGCCGACTTTCAACAACAACAACAACAGCAAAACAACAGCCGCCATACACCAACATCCGACCATCCGGCAAACACCAACATCCGGCAAACACCAACAGCCGCCATACACCAACAGCCGCCATACACCAACAGCCGCCATACACCAACATCCGCCATACACCAACAGCCGCCATACACCAACAGCCGCCATACACCAACAGCCGCCATACACCAACAGCCGCCATACACCCACATCCGACATACACCAACAGCCGCCATACACCAACAGCCGCCATACACCAACAGCCGCCATACACCAACAGCCGCCATACACCAACAGCCGCCATACACCCACATCCGACATACACCAACAGCCGCCATACACCAACAGCCGCCATACACCAACAGCCGCCATACACCAACAGCCGCCATTCACCAACATCCGACAAACACCAACATCGGACAAACACCAACATCCGACATACACCAACTACGGACAAACACCAACATCCGACATACACCAACTACGGACAAACAACAACAACCACGCACCCTGGCAATCTCCAGCAGACACAGGATGACGCTCTTCTCATTCTTCCTGAGCACAAGGTCATCCGTCTCAAAGCTGAGGACTTCCGGTATCCCCATCTGCCGCCCCCACGATATAAAGTTGGAGACATTGTCTCGCGCCTGTGGAGTATACACAAATACATAAATAAATACATATATAAGTAAATAAATAAATAAATAAGTAAATAAGTAAGTAAATAAATAAAGAAATAAATAAATTAAATAAATAAATAAATAAATAAGTAAATAAATAAATAAGTAAATAAATAAATAAATAAGTAAATAAATAAATAAATACATAAATAAATAAATAAATGTATATATATATATATATATATATATATATATATATATATATATATATATATATATATATATATATATATATATATATATATATATATATATATTTATATATATATATATATATATATATATATATATATATATATATATATATATATATAAAATAAATAGATAAATACACAAATAAATAGATAAATAGATAACAGATAAACAAATAAATAAGTAGATGAATAAATAGATAAATAAACAAATAAATAAGCAAATAAATAACTAAACAAATTAGTAAACACATAATAAATAAATAAATAAAAATAGATAGGCCCTAACTAAATAGATAAATAAATTAAAAAAACATACAAATAAACAAAATAGTAAGTAAATAAGTAAATAAGTAATTAAGTAAGTAAATAAATACATACAAATAAGAAAATTAATAAGAAAATCGACTAAAGGGGAATTGAAACATATCAGATATCCTCATCGAGATCCGTGACGTCAACTGATGGAGCCGCCAATCAGATTTGACATCTTGAGATAACCGAAACGATTGGGTAGACGGTGACTTTGTAACTGTAAACAGGGGTTCTAAAAAAATTTGCAGTTGATCCGAAAATATAAATCGTGGCTTCGAAATTGTAGATTTTAATGCGTTCTTAAATTATTTCTTCAATAGATCGTATAGCGTAAAACTAAAATAAAAATACAATTAGCCTTGGCTGAAGAGTTCGCTAGCTATCCCCACTTGTCACAATAAAAAAAGTGGATTGCTTTTAGTTACAAGCCTCGGGCACGATTCAAATGGCTTGAGTTAAAAAGGTGCGTCTGAGTCCACCCAGCTCTAACGAGTACCCGTTTTAAGATGATTTTTTGGGTTTCTTTCATAATATTTTTTTTTCCAGGAGAGGGAGGTTAAAAATACATTTTAATAGAAAATATGTTTTTTTCACTGTCGTCCAGAGGTGGGGGGGGGGGGGGGGGGAAGGGGGGTTGGACCAACAATCTAAACCAGGGGTCTCCAAACTTTTCCGTCCGAGGGCCGCATTAACTATCAAATATCAGTTCGGGGGCCAGATTTTCTTCAAGACATCTCTTCGGGGTGGTAGCGCCCCCCCCCCCCCTCGAAGAACTTGTACCGTCCCCCCCTTAACGAAATACAATTTATATTGAAATATATACAAATTTCAAGTGTGCCCCCCCCCCAGGAGAAAAAAGTCTGAAAGAACACTGTCGGTGGCCAACAACCCACTCGAGGTCCAAGTTTGCTCTCAAATTATTCTTCACGTATTTCAATCTTGAAAATATTTGTTCACACAGGTATCTTGTTCCAAAATTTGAAATGTACTTTGATGAAAAAGTTTTAATATTAGGAAAATATTCCTTCAGCAAAAACTTATAAAAACCTACCCGCCCTTCTTTGAACGTGTCTCTAATGACCTCCAGCTGCAGTTCACCTTTCCAACTGGCCACATTTGCTTCAAATGGGTTCTGAAACAGTCTCACTTTTTTCTGCCTTTGAATCCAAGTCAGAAAACTGCTATTGAAATTGCAGCTGGAGGTCGTTGATGATCTCGTATGCAAATGACGTGGGGAACTCAGTGGTTGCTTCAGTCATAAAGACCTTGCACTACTGAGAGTGTGTCGAGTTGTTAGCCTGCACTTGTTCCAAAAACATGACAAGTTTGGATCTGAAAGCCTTTAGGTGGGTGTATAGATCAGAAAATAAATTTCCATCTCTTGAAGTTTTAGGTTCAGAAAATTGAAATGACTAGTTATGTTTGCAGCATATCTATACCAACTCTTCATCAGACAGTAAGTACATCAGCTTGTGGCTTGCCTTTACTTTCAAGGAAGTCACCTTTTCCTTTTTTAACTTAAATACTCTGCTCAGAAAAATTTCTCGCAAATTAGCCATCTTACTGCTGTGAAATATGGTAAATCTTGCGATTCTGTGTTTCTATCTTTTAACATGTCTCTGAACTATCTATATTCTCTCCGGTAACAGTGCCATACATTCTATGCAGGGAAGCCAGCTCTTGTGTTATGTTTATGCCTTCACCCACACCTCTAATGAACACAAGCAGTTGAGATGTGGAACAGCTGTCCAGGAACTGATTCATTACAATTAAAATATTGCGAAACTTGCTTGTATTTTTCCCTATTTGAGTCACAATATTTTCATCAATGTCTGCAACACGGCGGGCAATGGTATTTGCACCCATAGCTACATTTTCAAATTGTTTTGAATTTTCTGGGCATAGTTTCTCAGCCATCTCTAACAAACATTTATTCCGTGGACAAAAGGATCGCCGCGGGCCGGATGAGAGGACCTCGCGGGCCGCATCTGGCCCGCGGGCCGTAGTTTGGAGACCCCTGATCTAAGCCAACCAACCAGGTTGAGGTTGTATCCAACAGTCTGACACCCCCCCCCCTCCGGTGTGTGATATTTCAAGCAAATAAACGTATCGATTTAACGGACAGTCTATTTATAGACGTGATGTAACAGCCGGTGGGTGGAGATGTGAGCAGTGATAACAGAGCACCAGGCATCCTGTTTTAGTATGTGCTCAGTTTGTCAGGGTGCAAATGGAGCACCAGGAGCCCTGTTTTAGCATGTGCTCAGTGTGTCAGGGTGCTAATGGAGCACCAGGCGCCCTGTTTTAGTATGTGCTCAGTGTGTCAGGGTACTAATGGAGCACCAGGCATCCTGTTTTAGTATGTGCTCAGTTTGTCAGGGTGCTAATGGAGCACCAGGCGCCCTGTTTTAGTATGTGCTCAGTGTGTCAGGGTGCTAATGGAGCACCAGGCGCCCTGTTTTAGTATGTGCTCAGTTTGTCAGGGTGCTAATGGAGCACCAGGCGCCCTGTTTTAGTATGTGCTCAGTGTGTCAGGGTGCTAATGGAGCACCAGGCGCCCTGTTTTAGTATGTGCTCAGTGTGTCAGGGTGCTAATGGAGCACCAGGAGCCCTGTTTTAGCATGTGTTTAGTGTGTCAGGGTGCTAATGGAGCACCAGGCGCCCTGTTTTAGCATGTGTTTAGTGTGTCAGGGTGCTAATGGAGCACCAGGCGCTATGCTTTAGCGTGTGTTCAGTTTTATTTTCCACGACATGGAATTTTTAAAATTTTTAAAGATCTTACATACTAGTCAGCTACCCGTAAGTAGAAAACAGATGCTTTGCCATGAACAAACGAAAGCCTCGAGTATTGCAGAGAGCACGAGCCTAGCGTGCTACAGACAGCACAAACTTAGCGTGCTACAGACAGCACAAACCTAGCATGCTACAGGGAACACGAACCTACCGTACGACAATGGCGCGGATCATTTGACAACTGAAAACAATTCCTGCCGGTGATCTTACAGCACCGGCAAACATTAGTGAAGGTCAAGGCCATTGAGGAAAGAGCTTTACCATGTCACCTTGATTTATTCTCATTCTCTTCAAAACTCGTGAGACAGATCTCAAAATTGCGATATAATCATCGGACATGGGTTTATTTCAGTCAATTTCATGAATATTAGGGAGTTTGGGCTTAAGTTGTTTGTATATGCCTCAGTATATCCTTCAAGTTGTTAACTCCATGCCCTCCTCTACACATACAACAAATAGTTTTTGTTTCTAAATCGCATCAAATAGTGTACTTCTTCCTCGGTTTTACTAAATGTTACGTAGGAAGGATGGGGGATGGAAGGGGGGGGGGGGGGGGTTTGCCGCAAATCATAGTTGCCAGTTAACTGCTCGACCCCTTGAAAAAAAATGGGCACAGCAATCAGAACGTAACCACAATCGGCAATAGTTTTATCCCCCCCCCCCGTCTCAAACTTCACGGCATTGAATGGAGCCGGCATTTTAAACCCTTCAATCTCACGGAAACCGGAAGTTCCCGGCCGTGATGGTGAGTAATGGAGGTGAAGCTGCTTCAGTGGTTGAGTTAGGTGGACGCTAATGCTCTGATTTAAACGTAAACTATAAACTTGGAGGAAAATGTTTCATTGCAATGCTACTCTATGCCAGGAATACTTTTTATACAGCATGGTTTTAAAAGTTAACCTTAAACCCGGGTGGGGGGGGGGGGGGGGGGTAATATGTTTTATTTTTACAATGCTACTAAATCAAATGACAGGAATAGTTTTTATACAGTTATATTAAACACAACCTCACAAAATAGTTTCACGATGCAACGATATTTTTTGTTGTTGTTATACAGCTAATTCTTAAGTCAAGTTGCATTTAACTATACATATACATGCTGATAAAAAAAAACTATGACATGAAACAACATAAATACTGATTGGCATAACAATAAAAAAAAACTAATAATTTAATCACAAAATCAAAATCTTATTATTCACGGAAATTCGATTTTAAAAAAAATATTCCGTTATCAGGTGAAAGTTTTAAAAAAATCCTCCAAAGATCAATAACTCATCAGAGCCACGATCTGAAGGCCGTATTTTAAGAAATTGTCGCGTCCATTAGCCTGACTGCAATGTTTCTAATGTCCTCGGTTATTGGCAGACTAACTCGGGTACATTGGTTTTTAAATCTAATACAAGTTATAACTAAATGAAATGTCTTTTGTTGAACACTATACATACATTACATTTGACTCCATGGATGCATCCAACACTATACAGACATTACGTTTGACTCAATGGATGCATCGAACACTATACAGACATTAAATTTGACTCAATGGATGCATCCAACACTATAAAGACATTAAATTTGACTCATTGGATGCATCCAACACTATAAAGACATTAAATTTGACTCATTGGATGCATCCAACACTATAAAGACATTACATTTGACTCAATGGATGCATCCAACACTATACAGACATTAAATTTGACTCAATGGTCCATCGATTAGTGTTTGTCCCCATGTACCACTGCCACAGGCTAGAAGAGGGACAGGTCATGCTAATATCGATACTGTATACTATTGTCCCACTGACACTAGTAATGGCATCTATATTAGAAGACCTACTATTATTTCATATTACATGACCTGCTGGTATTCTATTTTAGAAATATCTACTGGTATTTTATATTATAAATACCGATTGATATGTTATAGAGAAGTACTGAGTGGTAATGAACTCTATTCTTACCTGAGAAGTCTAACTTAAAGGTCTCAGGTTTAACTCACCTGAAAGGTCTCAGGTTTAACAAAAAGTCTCAGGTTAAACTCACCTGAAAGGTCTCAGGTTTAACTTAAAAGTCTCAGGTTAAACTCACCTGAAAGGTCTCAGGTTAAACTTAAAGTCTGAAGTTTAACTCACCTGAAAGGTCTCAGGTTTAACTTAAAGTCTCAAGTTTAACTCACCTGAAAGGTCTCAGGTTTAACTCCCTCTCTGAAGGCCACGTTCCCCTCTGGTATTGACCTGATAAAGTAAGACTTCATCTCTAGACTCTCGCCTTTCTCTCGCCGCTGTCTCGCGTACTCTTGCATCTGTGGAAGTCATTCAACCGTGTCTTACACGAGTAACATTGTGAAAGTTATTCAACCGTGTCTTACACGGGGAACATTGTAAAAGTCATTCAACCGTGTCTAACAATAGTAACATTGTCATGGTAAAAGTCGTTCAACTATGTCTTACAAAAGAAACATTACAGTGAGTCTTTTAAACACAATCTAATATTACAAAAGCTACATGTTATATCTGATACCATTACTCAAACGCTTACTTCAGTTTATCGTGAATCAAATACGTGTTCAACATCTAGACGTATCTACAACATAGGTCTATATCTTTATTAATTTTTCCTCGCATCCATTGAGGTCCACCCCTCCCTCCCTCCCTCCAATATTTTGTTACTATAAAGAAATAAGTTTGGGAGCGTACGTACAAAAAGTCTAGCCCCGGCTCTGACCTTATTGGCGTGCTTACACAACAAGATTCCCACCTCCGTTCGGTTTCGATCTCCCCCCCCCCCCCAAATATTTTGTTACTAAGAGAAATAACTCTAGAAACGTACAAGAACGACAACCCAGACACTGACCTTATGGGTATGTTTACACCACCTACTCCTATCTCGATTCGGCTTTGACCCCCCCTCCCCCCCCACTAATATAGTAAAAAAAAGTAATAACACCCCCCAATATATTGCTGCTACAAGAACGACAAACCTTCCCAGACCTTATTGGCGTGCTTAAGAAACTAGATCCCACGATATCCATTTGGCTTCGATTCCACCCCCCACTATAATATATTGCTACTCAAAAATAAGAGAGGTAACTCGAAGCGTACAAAAAAAAAAACAAAAAAAAAACGACAACTCAGGCACTTGCCTTATTGGTGTATTCACCCCACAAACTCCAATCTCAATTTGGCTTTGATCCCCCCCCCCCACCCCTCAAACAAAATATTTTGTTACTAAAAAAAAGTTAGATGCTCCCTATATACGGTTACTATAATACATTGCGCGGGTCGTACAGGAACGATAAGCCAGGCACAATGAAACCACCTCTACATTTTCTTTCGATTCCAGCCCCACCCACCCAATACATTGTAGCCAAAAAAATAAGAGAGATCCCCGCTCCAGAAAGATATTGTAACAAAAAAATGTTTCCCCCTCCCCCCCCCCCCGATATAAGGCAATAATTATTGGGGTGTTTACCCCGATAACTCCTATCTGGATTAGACCCCCACACACAAATATAGTTACTAAAAAGTAAGAAAGAAACCCCCTCCTATATACTGTTGTCACAAGAACGACAAGCCAGGCACTGACCTTATTGGCGTGCTTATAAAAGATCCCAGTCACCATTCGGCTTCGATCCCCTCTCCCACAAATATAATGTTAATGACCTTATTGGCGTGCTTACACAACAAGATTCATTCGGTTTCGATCTTCTTACCTCCCCCCCCTCCCAAATATTGTTACTAAGGGAAATAACTCTAGAAATGTACAAGACCGACAACCCCAGGCACTGACCTTATTGGCGTGCTTACACAGCAGGACCCCCGTCTCGAGAGCGGCGAAGAAACTCTCCGCCGAGATGACGGTCTGGTACAGGCAGGAGAACCAGTCGGCCAGGTCCTCCTTCATGGCGTACAGGTACTCGTCGTTGGTCGTGAAGCTCCGCAGGGACTTCGGCTCGAGCACCAGCAAGGTCCCCGTCTCAAAGTCCCCCGCCTCGGTGGTGCTGCTGCTGCACGTGCTGGCACCATCGCTGGTGCTCACGTAGTACCCAGAGTCCTTGAACTCGCGCTGGCCGTCCTTGCCAAGGTGAAGGCCGCACTGACCTTCGGCTAGCTGGTGGGATATCTTCGAGTACATCCCCGGGCTGTCAGAGGACATTATGGCCGCGTCTACCGATCATTCCAAGCCGGAGCGTGCGGCGGTATCGGACTCGGAAAACATTTTTTTTTTAGGAAACTGAGGTAGTCGAGTACAGCGTCGGAAACTCCGAGTTCATTGCCAAGTATGTCGGCGGCGATGGCATCGATACTGCATCGCTCGATGAGACGGGCCGACGATACCCTGGCTTTGACACGACTATACAACGGGGTATTCTCCTCTCAGTTCAGGGGCGGGTGAAGAAAGTTAGGAGGGGGAGGGGGGGTCCCTCAAAGTCGAAGACTGAAAAATTTTGGAAGATGATTTCTAAAAGCGCCGCTGTGACTTCTTTATGATCTGCAAAAAAAAAAAGAGAAAAAAAGACATTGAATTTTTAAAAATGGTAAGACTTTTTTCAATCTCTAAAATAGCTTAGTTCTTAACCCCCCCCCCCCCCCTTCCACCCACACAAAAAGTAATTATGTTACTGTAAGGATTAGGAATATACTCAAATCTAGTCTGTAGATTTAGGTTAGTCAAGCTTTATAGAATCAATACTTGAAAATAAAAGCTTCAATGTGTCCGGTGTTTTTACAAGTGCCAATAATCTAAAAAAAAATATATTCAGACTACTTTCGTATTTAAAATACACTTCTTTGTTGAGCGCAGGAAACACGCACTAAAGAACGATGTTAAATTACAAAGCAAAGCCACGAGTAAGTTACAGAAGGTTTGGGGAATCGAAAAGTATTTGATGTAAGAATCTTGACGATTTCAGTGCAGTTAGTACTGAACATTACTAGACCGTCCACAATTGTCACTTTAAAATGTGCATAAACGTCACTATAAAATCTGTTTACAGCAACACAGTGGCGTAGCGAGGTCGGGTGTCACCCGGTGCGGCACTTAATGGTGTCACCCCTCCCCCCAGAGGCATAGAGACCCTTCCCAGGGACAAACTTTCAAATTTTCGATTTGCACCCCCCCCCCCCTCAAACTTTCGATTTGCACCCCCCCTCAAACTTTCGATTTGCACCCCCCCCCTCGAGTTTTTCTCTATATATTTTGCTATTTTTTGTCTTGTGTCACCCCCCTAAATGGTGTCACCCGGTGCGGTCCGCACCCCCCGCCCCCCCCTCGCTACGCCCCTGCAGCAACATTTTATTTCGCGGGGCTAAATAGTGACAAGCAAATATGGGTAAATATCCTAACAGGAAACTCCAGGGTAGCTCGACATGACTGCTGACTTTGCTTTACACGGGACGGGTGGGGTCTGGCTGCTCCCCAAACAATAAAGTTTAGTGCCGCCTATGTTAACCGGTGACAAACCACTGTAGCTGAAAATCTATTTTAAATAGGAGAATTCTAAAGAGATGTGAATTGATAATGAAATTATGGCTAAAAGGGTGTGTGATGTGTGGGGTGTGTAGATGTGTGAATGTGTGGAGTTTAGTAGCTCAAGTGGTTACACATGCCAGCAATCCGCTAATTTGAATAGGAAGCTCTTTAATTTTATATCGGCATACACTAGCAAACTTCTTGCATTGCCATAATTCTATAATATTTACATGAGCATAGTTTTCACATGAACCCGTCTGAATGCAGTACGAAGGTTGGAACAAGACAAAAAAAAAAAGCTATTATTCTTCTAACTTCACATCTTGACTGGGTCTATAATAAAGTGCACAGATTAGAGGAAATCTTGATACATTTCTGTTGCGTCGTATAAGCCGTTGATGCATAAATAATAACATTTCTAATAATAGATGTCACGTGACACGGTGAGTGAGGGGAGGCTTGAACTTGAGAACCTCTGGTCTCAAGAGGGGGAGGGCGGGGTTGGTCTTAAGTAGAGCACTCTAATCCCTGGGTTGGTGTCGTGAATGTGGGGGAGATAGATGGTGTGTGTGGTGTGGGGAGGGAGATGGTGTGTGTGGAAGATGATGTGTGGGGGAGATGGTGTGTGGTGTGGGGGTGGTGTGTGTGATGTGGCAGATGTTGATGTGTGGTGGGTGAAGGTGATGGTGTGTGTGATTTGTGTTGGAGATGTGTGAAGGAGATGGGGTGTGTGGTGAGAGAGGGAGATGGTGTGTGGTGAGAGAGGGAGATGGTGTGTGGTGTGGGGGGTAATGTGTGTGCTGTTGCAGATGTTGCGTGTGTGGTGAGGGAAGGTGATGGTGTTTGTGGGAGTGAGGGAGGTGTGTGTGGTGTGGGAGGGAGATGTGTGGTGTGGGAGATTGCGTGTGTATGTGGGGGAAGGTGATGGTGTTTGTGGTTATAATTTGGGTAGGACGCTATGGGGTGCACAAAAAAAAGACAGCATGTAATCTACTAAAATATCCGTATCTGGAAATATACTTATCTTTTACTGTCGCTACCCAACCTGTTTCTTTCTATTTGTTTTAAAAAAATATCTACGTATATAGACGCCGCGCCTGTTAAGATGGGAGCGATGTACTTTTATCCACTCTGAATTGACCACATGAATATTGAACCCCATCAAATCTGACAGCGATGGTGCCAGAGTGTGAGATTAAGGGGATTAGCCGAGAAATAGCCGTCCGTTGTTGGAGGATTTGGTGACAGGTCGCGCTATGTCACATTTCGTGTTCGGAGTTCTAGTGGACTTAACTGAAGACATTGAAGGGGATGAGAAGGGATACGAACAGATCTAAGATTCGATGGGCGGGGGGTTTAGAAAATGGGCGTGGTCGTATAAATGGGCGTGGTCGTATACATGGGCGTGGTTACAAGCTTGGGTGCAACAGCGTGTTTCGTGTATAGCAAAAGCCTCTTACAGAAGACATTGAGGGATGAGAAGGGATACGAACAGACCTAAGATTTGATGTGAGTGGCCGTATAAAAGTGAGTGGCCGTATAAATGGGCGTGGCTGTATAAATAGGCGTGGCCGTATAAATGGGCGTGGCTGTATAAATGGGCGTGGCCGTATAAATGGGCGTGGCCGTATAAATGGGCGTGGTCTTATAAATGGGAGTGGTGACAAGCTTAGGCTCAACTGCGTGTGTCGTGTATAGCACAAGCATCTTCGTATGCCAGTCACTTTAATCCATTGCGTCACTTCCTCCAGAGGCCCACCATTCAGAAATTATGACAGCTTCGTTTTATTTTCCCCCCTCCTCATAAAAGCCCTTTAATTTCGTTAAATGTTTATAAAAGAAAAAATTCTGTAAAGGAAAATATCTGCAATTAGAACGAATAATCCTCGTCTAAATTCAAATTCCATGACGGGTGATGGATGTTTATGGATTAAGGACGGTTAATTTCGCTAACCTCCGACCTCCACCACACATGCTATGCACATTTTAAGAATATTAACACACAAGGCCTTATGTATAACCATAACTGTATTAAAACCCTACCCTTATAACTAACAGAAATATCTCAAAGCTAAAAATAAACAAAATTGAACTTCTAAGACCGAAGATGGAACACCCAAACCCCATAGGGTTAGAGCTGGGTTTATTGAACCCCATGGGTTCGGTGAGTCAGTCTCAGGGGTTCGGCGAAGGTCAAAGGATTCCCAATCGGGTTTTGCCAGTGTGGATGATAGAACTATTAAGAAGGGTTCGGTGAATGGGCAGTTGAAACTTGTGGGGTTTCGGTACCTTAAGAACCACTGGGTTAGAGTCAGAGGCGTAGCGACCCATTCCTGCGCCCGCTATTTATATATTTATTTACTTTGGCGAAAAATACCCCCCCCCCCCCCTTACGAATTTAACAAGTCGGGGAGCTTTTTACCAGTAAAAGTCCTTAACAGTTTTTATTTTAGTATTACACAGTTGATGTAGAAAACAGTCCATAGAGCCAAGTAGCAGTTCATTTTCTTAGTTATGACTGTGTATAATTTAGTAATGCAGCAAAAAGGGGAATTTGATTTTATTTTTCTACCCTGTTTGGCGCCCCCCCCCCACCATAGCGCCGGCGCCTCCCCCCCCTATAGTCGGCGCCCAAGGCGAACGCTCTACTCGCCCTCCCTAGCTACAAAAAATACACCCAACAGCAAACACCCCCGCCCCCTCCAAAAAAAGCCAATTAAACACCAATGTCATGTTGTATATTATCTAGTTAGAGACTTGCAGTAAGAATCTATATTCACGGGGTCATCATCAGTTAGGTTGAGACCCACTGGCGTACACACCGTTGTGTAATGAACAAGTATAACCGTGAACTGTATTCTATTTTAGGCCGTGCCAAGAGTGTGCTTTTTTATAATCGACCTGGGAGTCTAGGTATTGTCTTGGTCATGCCGGCATGAATAGACTGGCTGACAGGTAGGGGGGGAGGGGGGGGGGGAGGGATAAGGTTTTGAGGGCAAACCCATGTGTTAGATTACAAGTAAAAAAAAGTAAATATTCCTATTTAGACCAAGCGATCCATTAGGTAGATGATGTAGAGTTCATAATAGTTCTTATGTTTCTTGACCACGGCATAGGTGTGGTCAGAACTATGCCCAACCGCCTTTACTTTTTCCCCAATAAGACAGGGTTAGCGTCCTACATTCACAAGTCCCAACCGAGATCCGAACTCTAGATATTCGTGCTAGCAGCCAAAAGCTCTACCATTCGACCACTATACTGACAAGTGATTGGTGATTTTGCTTGTATCGATTAGACATACCCACAATAATTAAAGAACTGGATTCACCGAAAACAGCACTTAGACAATTATGTTTGGTTTTAATGATTAAAATAATTACTTTGGTTAGGGTTCTTGCCGAAAGGTGGGAGGTGATGGTTGGATTGCTGCGGATAATTTTCAGTGTTTATTCCAGACTTTTCTTCTCCGGGGGAGGGGGGGGGGGGTCACTTTTTCGGGGGGGGGGGGGGGGGGGGGTTAGACCTTCTTCGAGGGGGGGGGGGGGCGGCGGACACTGTTAAAAGACGAATATATTTTCTATATTATTTTCCTTTCATATCCCCCCCCCCCCCCCCCCCCCCCCGAAGAGATGCATGGAAGAAACTCTGGTCATTTTAACTTCCCACTAGAGTTCACTAGACCTACCTCTAGCAATACTTTTGGCCCCTAGCTAGAGCCTATGTGTCACCAATTGTTAATCAAATCTTATACACGATGTACTTATCTACATAGTTAAGACTGCAGATGCTGATACTACTTCAACTAGTAAAAAACAGCAACTATATTTATTCGGTTTATAGATCTAGATCGAATTCTATACAACAACTAAATAAGTAAAGTCGACAGGAAATTGAATGTAAATTATAAAGCTGCTAGATTGGAACTTGAAATAACGATTAAAACAGAATATCCTATAACGTTTTTTGTGTGTGCTTAATTTGCAAAAGATTTTATTCATGTAAATTC